TTATATTTTTCTCGTGGGTCTGAATACTGTTTGTAGGTTGTGTTTTTTCATAATTTTCCCCATCTGATCAGTGATTCCTTTGGTATATGGCAAAAACACTTTTCCTGTGGGAGACTGTTTTTCCTCAGTTGTTTGTTTTACCTTTGGTTTAATCGCTCTTCTGATTTAATTCTTGGAGTAGCCATTTGCTTGAAGAGCATGGTTTAGATTATTTCGTTTGCCATTGAGAAGTGCGGTTCACATATCTGTCTTGCGTGGTCTACTAATGTTTTGATTATGCCTGTTTTTTGCCGTGGGTGGTGATTGGAGTTTTTATGCAAACAGCGGTCTGTGTGAGTTGGTTTTCTGTAGACCTTGTGACCTAATTGAAGGTTAGTTTTGCAGATGACCATGATATCTAGAAATGGGAGTTTACCCTTGACTTCTTCTTTTTTCTTATTTTAAATATATTTTATTGGGTTTTCAAATTAATGCACATATCAATAATAGATCATAAATAAGCATTCCATCCCATTAACACCCTATACTATTGATAACATATTCTAAACAACAACAAATCAAACAAGTATAATTACTTTTTAATTCTTAACCTTCACGAAATAAAGCAATTATCAAGTACATCCATCCATTAATAATATATTTTTAATTCAACTTCGTCATTTATGGATCTGTAATCTCTATAAATATTAAACCAACCATCCCTCGTAATCATTCCCTCGACACAAGATGTTAGAAAATTCCTGTTTGTTCCAATATCCATCAAGTTCCATGTTTCTACATTAAACATAAATAATAAGTTTTGAATTTTTATATTATTATTTTTTGTTTTTGTATTATTATTATTACTTCAAAATTTTCGTTGTTTACCCCCCAACTGTTCAAGCCAGGGTTGTCTTTTAGCAAAATTGATATAACATCTTTTATAAATTTTACTTTAGGAAAATACTATAACCTTCAAATTTCTCCCATAATTTCTTAAGTATTTTCCATACATCGATTTCTAATATATTTTGTCACTATGCTTGGTCATTTTTCTATACAACATACATAACAATCCCCAAAGTTTACTATCACAAATCTAATTATCCATTCCAACATTTATTTAATATTAACTTAACTCTCTTTCATATCACTTAGTTACCTTCTATAACTCTCTGTCTACCTATTTACCACCACCCTTTCATTCCAACTTGTACATTTTCAAAAGAAAAGATAAGAAAAAAATTCCTAAACACTTACATTAATTAGCTCAATTCATTCCAATTTTACACATTCAAAAAAAATTACATAAACATTGTTACTACCTTCTCCTTTCCCTTTTAAATATATCTTACTCCTATCTAGTTTATCTACTCCAACATTTAATTAATATTAACTCAATCCTCTTCCATACAACTTGATTAATTTATATCATGCACACTTAGCACTATGGTCCATATATTACCAACACCTTAATCATGTCAATTCATTCCATTTTACAAACACCAACACCTTAATCATGTCAATTCATTCCATTTTACTAACTTTCAAAGGGGAAAAAGAAATATATATATAAGTTACATAAACACTTTTTTATATATTTTAAATTGCCTTCTAGGGATCTGAAGCCTCTTCCTCTGTAGCAACATGTCTATATGTTTTTTCCCCTTACAGGGGTGATAGTTCATTTCCAATCTCTTCTCAGTAGCTCTCAAAAATTCATGTCTCCATCCTATATTGTCCTTTTTAGCCTTCCAAACAAATCTTTCTTGCCACTTTCTTTTCCAATTTTTCTTCTTTTGGGGAAAAAATCTTTGTACCTTTCTTTTTGTTGCCTCCCTCTTCAAATAGCTCACTTTGGTTGTCCTCTTATTTCGTCTTTGGGTCAATAAATATGACATCTCTATACTTTCCTTTTCTTGCTGGCACATAGAGATCTCTGCAGAACTCTGACCACATTGTTCTGGTTTTTCACTACTCTCTGTCTCCAATTGGGGGTCATGGAAACTTGCAAATGCTTGTTCAATGCCCTTTTGTATTCCCGCCTTCCAAATCCTTAGAAATTGTTGACCAACATTTCTCCCACTGGGGTATTTTCGTCAATTTCCTCCTTCATGTCGGTTCCCCTTGCAAACACCATTTTACTCACTCTATTCACGCTAAGTCATTCAAGATTCACAATTAAATATCATTCGATTGGAATTGAAATTACAAACTCCTTCAGTACCGGTTATTGAGCAGATGAGAAAGAGGAACGAGGGGCTGAATCTTTTCGAAGGGAATAATCACTATTACCCCAAAAAACAAATAGAAATTAACACTCCACTCCACACCATCAATTCTACTTCTCCATGGTTCCAAATGATAAACGTATCATCTACGTACCAGAACCAGACTGTTGGTTTGTGGGGTGCAGATTCTAAAGCTGTTTTTTCAAAATGCTCCATGTAAAAGTTTGCTATAACTGGGCTGAGAGTAAATGTAGTACTCCAACATTTACAAGAACATGACCTTTTAAACAAAACAAAATTCTTAGAAGGGAATGGAGACATGAAACTAAAAACATTAAAAAATAATGGGAAGGTTTCAAACAACATGTGGGCATGGAAGAAAATTAGGTACAATTTGTATGTGTATTATATATATAAAAAACTGACAAAAGCAAAACCATTAACAGGAAAGTATGACGGTTTCTACTACTCCTGTGCTCCCTTTTCCTTTGCTAAATTTGCAGCTTTCCCCACATTCCTTTCCCACATTCCTTCCTCAACTTTTAGATAAAACAGAGGAAAGTTTTAGAAAAATAAGCCAAAAGTGTGCGCAAATTTAACAGGGGGGAGAGGTGGTTGAAGGACTAAAGATCTATTTCAGATACAATATAACACTTCTCTTACAAAAATACATTTGAATGTCTACCCCAAAGTCTGGGACTCTAAAACATCTGGCCTTGTTTGCATTAGAGACCCACCATTTTGTTGGTTTGTTTCGTTGGTTTGTTTTACATCCAAATGTTGTTTAGACTGTGGTGAATGCACAATTCATCATGGTTTTTAGATCACATTTCCCCCCTACAGGTTAGTGATTCTGTGAGCGTCTCTTTATTGTGACACATTCTTAATAATGCTGCGTTGACAGATGTGGGTAAGATAGCACTTTTAGACAATTACAGCTTTATATTTACTTTCCAAATTAGACCCATGGAAGGTTACTGAGGTTAGGCCTTGAGAACAGAGCAAAATGGTCACAAAATAGAATTGGCCACTACAGTGTGGTATTCCTGAACATCGTAATCAAAAAGGAGAGTTCAGAACTAAACATTTACTGTCTCAGCATCCTTTGCTGCCACTGTAGATTTCAGCCCAACCTTAAAGCATCCACCCATAACCCAAGCACTATGTCTCAAGAGTTCGAGCCAGCTGCCAAATCTCCAGTCTTGCTGCCATACTTAAGAGCCCAAATTTTCAACTGCTATCCAGTGTTCTAGAAGCCAGTTCCTCACATCACACCTAAAATAATTTGTGCTGCCACGTAAAAATTGCCCTACCACTTATAACTTTACTCCTGTCTCCAGCTTTGTATATGTAGCTCCTCTCTATACAGGAGCCATCACAGTAACCAAGCAGCAGTTTTATTACATAGATTAGTATTTGAAGGCAACAGTTTGAATTATTTTCAGGAAGGATTCCATCGTGTTCAAACTATTACAGGCTCTAGGGAAATCTAATAAGTAGATTTTCCCATCCAGATGAGGACTGGCAGCTGTTTTCATGTGTTAGCCTCAGGTAGTATGGAGGAAGAAGGTCATCCACAAACATCTTGCTTTTGAACAAAAATCCCTGGGCACAAGAAGGGACTGAGGAGGGAAGGCAGCATGGTATAGCCCAATCTTGTCAGACTGCAGAAGCTAGCATGGTTGGTACTTGTATGGGAGACCTCCAAGGAAGACTCTGCAGAGGAAGGCAGCAGCAAATCACCTCTGCTTAACTGCTTGCCTTGAAAGTCCCATGCTGTGGTCACCCTAAGTCAGCTATGACTTGATGGCATTTTACACACACAAGAAGGGACAACTAAGTCACGTCCTTATTTGTATGGGCATCGTGTGATCATCACCACTTACAAAGTGCCTTTCAAATGTCCCAAGCACTCCACACTACCTCAAAGAACTAGTCTGTAGAAGACCTACTGAATAGTTTACTTCATTGACCCCTCCCATGTGTTGCCCATGAGCATTGTGGTGCCAAGCAATCTGTTTCCTGGTGCCCACTTGCTTTCCTCCACCTCACTAGAGTAAAATAAACCAGGGGAAAAAACCCTGACTTCATAGGAGGAGGATGCTTGTCTTGCAACTTCCCAGCATTTTGTGATTAGCCCCTGTACCCTATGGCAGCAATTTTCTGATTGTCCCCAGATCAACATGGCAGCCATTTTGTGGGGGAGTCCATTGCCTGATCCCAAAATTTTAAAAGTGCCCACAGGCTGAACAAGACTGGGGACCCCTGTGTATTTCATTATATTCAAGATCCCTGCTAAGATTCTAATTAAGGGAAAGTGCTTTAGAACAGAACAGCACTGGTGGTAGTATATATTAGGATACACCTATTTCCCCCCCATTGTTGCTATGGCCCCTCAAGAGACCAGCGGAAACAGCTATAATACCTCAGCCAGTATGAGAAATGGTACCAGCTTTGTCCTTTAGTCCCTTTTCCACAGCTGAAGAGAGACAGTAACCATGATGCCATTGAAATCTGTGATTCAAGTGAAGAAGAATCCCTGCCTCCCCACAAATGACATTTGGATATTCTGATACTTTAATTTTATACTGACATTTTTAGTTGTTTACTCAACAACAATGTAATAGCCCCTTGGGAACTATATTGTCAAAAGGAAGGGTATGTTTCCCCCCAAATAAATTGACAAACAAAAAATTAAATAAATGATGAGGATTGTCTCTTATAAATGCCAAATATAACAAATATGTATCTTAACGACCCACTCAAAAGTAGTAGAAAAATATCACTTACCTTACAGTACTCATCAATTGGAATAAGGCGCTTGATAGCAACATCACGGATGTGACTGCGACGAAACAGGATCTTGCCTGTTCAAACAACAAAAAGTGATGCTAGTCATTGGTTCTTTGGGTAATACCATTTCAGTGGTATTGTGAAACTAAAGTATTTCTATGTCCCAAACTATCTTTTTTTTCCCATAAAAAGCCACATTAACAGCTTAACAACATCTTTCTTTCCATATTTTCTCCAGTTATTGTCAACTAGAGAAAAAACTGGAAGCATCAAATCCAGCATCTTGAGGGACATAACCAGACACACATATATCCTCCCCATTTACCAACCTAGGGACAAGGGAGGCACATGAAATTGGAGGTTCTTGCAACAGGATTGGCCAATTGGCTGCTTTGTGAGGAGGGGGGGTGTCAGGGCTTTGGCTCAGTAACTGTGCCTCTGCATAGTGAATCTGTAAGAGATGTAGCTGCTGGCCAGGACACTAAAAACTTTTGCGTTAAGGGAGCCAAAATGGCTAACGCTGCACACCATAAACTTTGGAAACAGACGATTGCCAACAAAAATGGAATCAAGCTGTAGAGAGCACAATTTTGCTTTTACAGCCTTTCGGTGTGCCAAGAACTGCTGATGGGTCCATCACAGATGCCTCAGATAAACAATCTTCTTGGAGAATGGTAATATTTAGCCCAACAGATTTTATCAGCATATAATTATAGGGCGCAGATAAACTAGAATAAAAAGATTAAGTGATTACAGCAACCCAGTGCCCAAAGAAACAAGTATTTATCCTCCCATACTTTTCCTATCCAAACAGGAAGTTTATCCGGTAATAAAAAGTAGATTATGGCCCCGGTCACACGGCAAAGTTGCCGCGGGAAAGGACGGATGGTGGGCGGATTATCCGGGCGCGATCACACTCCAAAATCTGGGAAGTGGAGCACACCCATGGCTTACGCCGACAATACGCCTTAAAAAACTAGTACAAGGACTTCCAGTCTGCGGCTCAGCGATGGCGGATGCTCTCCCCTGAAGCTGGCGAGGCAATCCGCGCTCCAGGGGTGTTGGAGGAGTGCCACCTCAAGTGGCACCCCCAGGTGAGCCTTAGTTAAAGGCTCCGAGC